CACCAGCTGGTTGACCGAGGGCAGCTTGCTGACGCCCCCGTGGGGTTTGTTCACGGGCGAGAGGACCGGCCCGTAGGAGGGAGGCTGCAGGTGGCTCCTGCTCGGAAAGTACAACCGTGTGGGCCAGGGCTCAGGCCGCTGCTTGACCCAGGGGGGTGGGGACCCTGACCCCTGACCCCGAGCGGGAGGGTCAGAGACACCAGCCTGCCCAGGACGAGGTGCCTGCTCACGGGCCCAGGCCACGGGGCGGGAGGTGGGGCGGCTCCTGCCACTGGAGTTGCCCTCGGTGTTGGTGGGTTGGCGCTGCTCTGACCACCCCCTCCTCACCCTCCAGGCAGCAGGCATTTAGGGTGCCCCTTGGTGGGAGAGAAATCAGTGCCGGCCGTGGCCACTGCAGTCAGGGAAGGCTTCCTGGAGGAGGGGACGCCAAGCAGGGCCTCGCTGCCTGTGCAGAGGCCGCAGCTCGGGAGGGATGTCTGGCCACGGCAGCGCCCCCCCCCCCCCACGGAGGTGGCACTTACGGCCGCTGCAGGAGCTGCTGCTGCTGCCGGTAGGAGTCCACCACCTGCTGGGGCACCAGCTCCATCAGCTCCAGGCTCTCCTTCACCTTCATCAGGATCTCGAAGTTCTCCCGGCCCCGCACCTGCGACGGGAGGCAGCCTCTGCCCAGGAGCCCGGGAGCCTCGGGACCCTCAGGCCCTCCTTCCCTCCTTCCCAGGACGGGGGGCAGGTGTCCTCTGTCCACACAGCCACGCCCCCTCCCCTGCCCCTGAGCCTTCACCCCGCCTCTCTCCACCCCTCCCCAGCGCTCAGCACCCTCGGGATTCAGGGGCAAAGAACTCAGCGAATAGGGGGTTTTAGAAGAAGGGACTCATTCTTGACTCAAAAGTGAAAAGCTCGCCTCACGGAAGGCCAGTCCTAGCCCAGCACGTGGTGACTTAATCCGCCAACTGGATGGTTCAGATCACGTGATACTTGTGTTGCCGTGGTTGACAGTGATGCAGCCTGCCAGACCTAGACTGGGGGGGTCCTAATGCCTGCCCTCCCTGCCCCCCCGGGAGCTGCATCATCCACAGGCTGAATCCAAGCTCGGAGCTGCAGGGGCAGACCCTCACTTGGCGGGGTCCGCTCTCCCTGCGTCCGCCCCATCTGCTCTCCCCTCAGGCCCCTGCCACCTGCAGAGCCCGGTCTCAGCTCTCAGGG